TACTATACTAGACTAGACTAAACCAGACTAGACTAGACTAGACTAGACTAGACTAGACTAGACTAGACTAGACTAGACTAGACTAGACTAGACTAGACTAGACTAGACTAGACTAGACTATACTATACTATACTATACTATACTATTCCTGTAGAACTTGCCAGGATACTCTCGCGGCACTCCAGCAGCAAAGCGAGTTTCAGGCGGACGTCATGCGAAGGCTTTGCGACCAGTGGCCTGGCTAACAGTAGGTTTAGGGTTTAGGGTTTAGGGTTTAGGGTTTAGGGTTTAGGGTTTAGGGTTTAGGAGGGTTTTGTTTGGGTTTCTTGGGGTTTTTAGGGGTCGAAATAATTCCTAGCCTCGCCTCCCTGTCCGACCTCATAAACATAATACTACTTTCGGCGCGGGAGGCGGGTGCCGATCCCTGCCCAGACCCTCCTGGCGCAAATTCTTCCCTTCCCCCCCCACACCCTCCCTGCGTCAAGTCCCGTCAACCGCGCACCTTCCTGCCACTGCCTCAAACACATTTTTTTGGCACTCCACCCATCCTTTCTGGCCGCGACGGCCCTCTGCTGCCTCTACCCCCTCCCCTCCCACACCCCCTCCCTCACTGGTTCATAGCCTTCCAACCGAACCCCCCTCTCCGCCGCACCGTTCGTGTTCCCCCGTTTAAATTACGATTAGATCTAGGGTTGCACTCAGATAGCCAATGGGAGAATTTTAAACTTTATGGCCGACGACATGCCTTGCGGTTTCGGATAAGGTTTCGGAACCACGCTTGACACCTCGACCTGAACCGGAAAGCCATGTGTCTCACGTCTCAGCTTAGATCGGGCAAGCTGTTCAAACCTGAAACTTGAGAATTTAGGGCCTGCCAGGTTTACAGCCAGAGTCAAAACGTTTCGAGCTGAAGTAACCCTAAACTCTAAACCCTAAACCCGAGACCCTAACCCTAAACCCTAAGCTCTAAACCCTAAACCGAGACCCTCAAACCCGAAGCCCCAATCCTCGTCATCTCCGGAACCAGCTCAAGTTCAACCCCTCTGATTTTAAGCTCCTTCGGTGGGTTCGAATTCCCAGCACTGAACTTGAATCTATCATGCTTTCAGACCTAGCGGTTTAGGGTTTAGGGCTACAAGGGCTTAGGGGCTCAAGGGTTTCAGTGTTTTGAGGTTGCAAGCTTTGCGTGCTCGAAAGCACCACCCCGGGGACCTGAGGTGGGACATCGCGCTCGTGTTTAGGGGGCTTCCTCAACTTAATCCGTGACAGGCCCCAAAATTCAAAACATTCCGAGGGTTTAGGGCTCAGAGTTTGTAGGGCCCTCCTCAAAAATGTGTTGCCCCAACCCAAGGGGAGATTCGAAAATGGAGCAAGCGATCGAGATGACCGTCCAAGCCACGCTCCGTGCACAGGAGGGGCCCTACCACAGGGGCCTTAGTATGTAGGGTTTCCGGTACGTAGTGTAATTTCATTCAGGAACCGTAAGGACTAGTATTGTCATCATTTTGACCCCGTGCAGTACTTTTTCCATTCCTCCGGTTGTTTTGGGGCAACCCTAAACCCTAAACCCGAACCCTCAATTTAAATTACGGACCGGGCCTACATAGGATATATGCACAAGAACATACGCGAACTAAGCCATGAAGCTTACGACGAGTGGTGGCTCAGGCGTTTGGGTTTAGGATTTCGGGTTTGGGTGGGTTTTAATCTAGGACATTTTCAGGTGGGTAGTTGCCGTTATAGGTTCCTTATAGAAGATCTATATACCTTATGGAAGCCTTAAAGAAGCCCTATATACCCTAAACTCCATTCTGTAGTTTCCTTTATTTCAAGCTCCAGACTTTCAGATTTCAGGAATCGGGCCCAGGTTATTTCACTGCGATGGCTGCTTTTGTGGGCCGCAGCGAAGGGTTATGCAGCAGATGCAGTGTACCCGTAGGCCCCATAGTAGTTCCTTTTTGTGGCTTATATTTAGGATCCTCTTGGGGAATCCCAAAAAGCAACTATTATGGGTTGTTATTGGAAGTATATTACAATATACCTCAAGGCCACCTTCTAATCATGAAGGCCCCTTATTTACGTTCAGCAATACCGAAGGCCACAACACCACTGTAGCGCCAACAGCCAACACCGCAACCCCAACACGCAAAACCCCCAAACGCCGAACTCCGAACACTTCTGGACCCGAAGCCCCACATCCTTTCCAACAAAGAAGAAGCACTGAAGGGTCAGAACGCTAAAGCGATACTATAACCCTAAACCCTAAACCCCTAAACCGTGGATAACCCGCTGCAAGCCCATAAATTAGTGAACGCACTTTTCCAACTTGGACCCCTGCAAGTCTACAAAGAAGGAGCGTGCGGTGGAGGGCAGCCTCCAACAGCGGCTGGGCGAGTGACTTGTCCGGTCAGTCAAGGCTTCGAGTTTAACGCAGGAGACTGAAAGCGTAAGAGATGGTTTCGGAGATGTTACATGTCATTTTTGGTGGGGACCATGCTAGGATAGCACCACTAAGGGCTCAGTTTTTTGGGCTTTGCGGTCTTCGGGTTCAGGGGTTTGGGTTCGGTATGGCGCTTCGGTTTCTGGGTCTCTGGATTCGACGGTTAGGGTTTAGGGTTTATAGGGTTTGGGGTTTACGGTTTAGGGTTTCTTGGCGTTGAGGGTCTGGGGCGTAGGGCTTAAGCCCCATGTGCCCTGCACCGCTAGCGTCGGGTTGTTCTTCGTTGCAGGGACTCTCGGGCTTTTGAAAGCGTTCGGCTCTCAGGCTGTAGGCTGTTTAGGATCTCAGGTTTCGGAGATTCCAGGGGCTCTTGCTGAAGGTCAGAGAGCAACGTCGTGTGCACAGTGATGTCGGTGCTTTTGGCCTTGGAAGTTTGGATTGTCCTGCGTGCATTTCTCGGGAAACCCTGGCCCCGCTGGTCTCCGAGCCGGCGGTGCTTCCGGTTGCCGCGGCTGCCCAAGCTTCCCGGCTGATCGGCCCCAATCGGATCGCGTTCACGGCATATGCGGCCGGTGTGATTCTTCGTGCGACTACTCTTCTGTCTCTGGCTTCGGGTATCGGTTCCGGGCTTGACTGAACATGTCCGTGTTTCTGCTGTGTGGGACCTCATGGCCCATCGCCTCCGTCCCGCCCCTGGGCCAAGGCATCGGGTCATAGCATCTCTGGGCCGCACAGAAGGCAAGCCTTGACGGCTGGACACCGAAGAGAGCTAGAGACGGCGCCAACTCGCGAGCAGGGGCGTAGCAGAAAAAAGGGCTTCAGACGACGTGGGATAGGCTTAGGGTTCAGGGTTTTGCTTGCAAAGTTTGGGGTGTTTAGGGTTCGGAAAGGTTTGGGTTTAGGGTGATCGTTCTATGGTTCCTGGACACTCCACCTACCCGCTCTGCAACCCGAAATACCTGAACCCCAAACCTTTTACCTGTAGCCCCAAGGTTTAGGTTAATTATATGTTTAGTCTACATTGTAGTTCCTTTTTGGGTTTACCTTTTGGGATCCTTATAATATAAAGTTGGTTAAACCAAAAAAAGGAACTACAATGGAGACTATAGGTAAAGCTTAGGATTTCAATTTAGGGTTCTAAACCCTAAACCCTAAACCCTAAACCCTAAACCCTGCAGCGCGGATCTCTTCTGTCTGAAGTCTTCCTGCGAGTTGTTTTATAGCCTTTTAAAAAGCCCCTAGGTTTAGGGTTTAGGGTTTGGGGTTTAGGGTTTCTAATCTGAAGTTTAGTAGGCTCGGTGCAGGATCCCAAGCCCTAAAACCCTAAAGCCCTAAGCCGTAAACCCTGAAGCCCTGAACTGATCCCTAAACCCTGAAACCCTAAAACCCGAAGTCATAAACCGAGGAGCATGGGTGAGCTGGTGGAGCGAGCAAGGGCTCGAATGGAGCAGGCAGGGCTTATCGGTTCATGTCCGAGAGATCGTCCGCGAGGCCCAAACCGAAGAGCCAGAACTGGTAGCTTGAAGCTCCACAGTTTAGGGTGTAGGGTCTAGGCTTTACGGTTTAGGGTTTAGGGCTTATTTTTTTAGGTTCAGGGTTGAGGATTTAGTTTTTTTAAGGCTTAGGGTTTAGGGTTTAGGCTGCCCTGTAACCGCAAATGAAGGCAGGCAGGTTCTTGTCTTTTGGGGGCTTGCTGGTGCTTGCTGCCAATGATCTCCTCTGCAGCCGGGCTTGTGTCCGGGGTCCACTTGTGAGAGCGCATGTTGCCCGATGTT